ATTAATTAAACCACAGTTTATCATTCTTTCTGAAACGAGGAAGTGTGATGAAATGTCAGTTTGACATTGGTTTCAGATCCTGGTTAGTAACCTGTGGTTTCAGATCCTGGTTTGTAAATTGATATTAAACCACAGTTCTTCATCCTGGACCTAAGGAGGAACAGAGTTTTAATGTAGCAAGAGCAGACACATCCTGGGATAAGGGAAATGAGGACCACACTGATCCGATACTTCATAAACTATGGTTTACTGAGCCAGAAACATTGTCTGTACAATCTACTGTGTGATTCCTGATCGGCCGGAATTACCCGTGGGACTAATTCAGGAAGCTTTGCTCTAATGCTCAGCTGGCTTCTTTTACTTTCCTTCAAGCTTGTGTAGTTTGTTTGCATTGCTAAAATAGTTTTAGCAAGAAACTTAACATTCATTTTGTTGTAGGTGTCTCTTAAATTCCATTTGTGTAAATGGTAAACAAATGCACTACAAAGGGGGTGGGGAATCAAATGCTGTCCATTTTTTCAGCATACTATGCCTGAGGAAAATGGTATCTTCCAAACCTGCTTCCCTGAGGGCAGGTCTTTTTTATTATTAACTTCTGAGTAATCAATTTGTTGTCCTGTTTTCTCTTAGTTGCCAGTTACCAAGTTTTGGAAATCAATTCTCTTGTTAAACTATGCACCAGTTCTGTAACTTATCTCTGAGAAAGAAGTTACTTTTTAAATAGGTGAATTTACCTTTAAACAGTTTCCAATCATTGAGACCACTCAAGCCAACTAGTGGGCAGTAATAAATAGCTAAATCTCCTTACAGAGCAAACCTAACCTCTGATATGTGCTGCTAGAAAGGGGTTGGGATAAGACAGAGGTCTGTCTTATCCGAGTTATCCACAAGCTGAAACCACAAGCTGGTTTGTGAAGCTAGCAAGTTTAGGATCCTGAAACGGGGCATTCTGAGGGCTGGGTGGAGCAGAACCAATTGTGGAACTGCTGTATCCAAAGCTGATACAGCCTTCTCAGAATGGCCCAGTGCAGCTGATTCCCTCCCCCCCAAGTTCTACTCACGTGCCTTCCAGCAAGCCTTGTGGTTTTAATTAATCTGTTGCTCCACCCGGCTACTCGCCAACCAGAATATGGTTTGCTCTGCTTGAAAATCTATTTAGTAAATAGTTAAATGACAAAGCAATTTCAGCTTGTTTGAAAACTATGTAAAGTTATATCTATCTATCATCTATCTATCTATCATCCATCTATCTATCATCTATCTATCATCTATCTATCTATCTATCTATCTATCTATCTATCTATCTATCTATCTATCATCTATCTATCTATCTATCTATCTATCTATCTATCCTCTATCTATGTATCTCTCTAAGGTGTAGAGATGTAAACCATGGATCTGCATTAAATGTTTGCAGCAGTTATTACTGCCTATTTTTAAAATAATATCATTATTGTTGATTAATTGTAAAAAAAAAATTATATTTATACCCCCTCTGAAGAATTGTAGGTTCCTGATGTGATTTCAACTGAACTTTAATTGTCTCCCCTTCTGTTCCAATAGACAAGCTAGCCTCAATGAAGCAGCTGAGAAGTATTATAAAATGGCAGCTGAGCTGAGACCTCATGTAAGTACTTCCGCAGAGAGGGATGCACAGTTCAAGCCTGCTATGCTTATAGTAGTGCAAGAAAACGTGCTATCCTGAGGAGAATTTAATTTTGTGACTGTTTGATCTCTAAGCCTATGTTGCAAAGGATAGATAATTTAAGAGATAATTTATTCATTATTAATATTCTGATGAAACCTTTGACATTTGTCAAATCAATTGCTGCAGACAGGAATCTTGATGCAGTGTTTAGAAATGCTCAATTTTCCGCTTACTATTTGTATGTTTTAAATTCAGCTTCTTGGCCTAGATTTGAATCTTAAAAAGCATAGGTAGTTGCTGAAAACAAATGAAAAACAACATGCATGAACGCCAATGTATTCATTAGTTTTTGGAGGGAAAATGAAAGGAAATGGATTGAAAATTTGTTAATTTTATTAAATTGCTTTACACCAGAGGCATTATTTAGCACTGAAAAAATAAACTGCAGTGCTATCTACAGTTCATAGAGAGGTCACAGGGAAGGGTGAAAGGGAAAGCAGTGAAATTGACATAATGGAAAGCACTATTTATTTTAGATAGAAAAAAGATTGTTTGCTTCTTTTTAAGGTTATAGATAACATGAGGATCCTTTTCCATACATAATTGAAATGTGGCAATTCTGATGTGCTGGTGAGGGAGTGGGTACTAGTTTGTTTGAAAATAGGCAATAGGATGAAAAATATAGAAGTCACAGGCAGAAGAAATTCAACTATCTCCACCTGAAATTAATGGGTAGATTATAGGATCAATTTTTATATAATTGCCTATATAAGAGGCCCCCTTTGCCCCATCTGTTTGAAATTTGACATGTCTTGTATAGGGGGTGTTATTATTGACATAGTTTCAGAGGATTGCCTGGGCCTTCTATTCTGCTGCCTGTAACTTTGGTGTTTTCACTGGAAACCAATGGAAAAAACTAACTAGTGAATGAATGCAATTCAGATTAATAGAAACAGAAATGTTTCTGAACATGTGATTCAGGTGAATGAACTATGAGATCTATGATACTATGAAAAAATGGAAACAAATTGAAAAACAGTTCACCCCCCCCACCCTGTTTGTTAGGGGTGGAACAACCTCTTCCATTTCACCATATTCTCTCAGTCCAGTTTTACTTGAGTGGGCATGACTCTGTGGATAGCTACAGGTTGTTCAATTAATCATTATTTTACACTGTGCTAATGTACCTTTTGCCAGGGTTTTAATACCACACATTTAAGGGAAATGCACGGCAGTTCCAATCTGCGTGAGGAAGCTTGACTATAGAATTCATGTTGAAGGTGGAATTCATGCTTCATGTGTATGAATTGCTTTTCCTGTTGTTTTTGTAAGTAACATTAAAATGTTTAGAAACACTTCTAAAAAGAAAAGGAAAAAATGTCTTTTAAAAAATGTATCTGTTATTGAATAAGTGCTTCATTCCTGAATTAAGTTTTAGGCATCATTGTTTAATATAGTAGTGTGGGATGCTGCTATTGAGGTTTCCTGCCTCTCCATCTATTGCCCCGGACTCCCTGCTGAAATTTTTTTCATTCTGTAGCCATTAAGCATGCTCAGTACTAGCTGAGGTGTTTTGGTGTGAGGGGATATCCCCCCTCCCACATATTTTACTTTTTTTTAGTACTTCTGGAAATCTTAGGGTTCCCCCAAGCCTGATCATTTGTCTTCCTTGTATGTCATCCCATTTTTGCCACAGCACTCTTGGCTTGAACATCAGAAATAGACGGAATGATTGATCCTATTCAACTAACTTGTTTTGACTGAAATAGTTGCCATAAAATGCTACAAAGCTTTACAGAGCGGGAAGAAAGGATACTTGGTGTTAGATGTCAGAAATAGGCACTCTAATAATAGGATATTGCTGGTTTATAATGCCACGCTTCAGATGTTCTGCCCAGAGCTTTTGTCAGTGAAACTGATTCCTTCTGGCTAAATTGAGATGTGGAAGGGAAGAAAGGAAGTGCCTTTTCTTCCCAACTCATTTATTACAGTAATACAATAAATTGTTGGAAGTGTGCATAGGTTAGTAGCAAGTGTTAAAGACTACATGTGACTTAAGGTCACTTCATATATTATATTTTTAGGTGTACAGTTAAGTCCAAGAGTACACAGCACAATGTACAGTGTGAATGCAATACATTTTTGCAAGCACATGTATAAGACAGGTATACTAGGCAGCAACATCTTTCTGTTCAGTTTACACTCAATACTTAACCCAGATTTGTCCCTGCATAATGTATTAAATCACCTGTAAATTGGCATCTATTTCAGTTTCCTCCTACTTGCTGGCTTCTATGTACCTATAGGAAAGAGTTTCTGAACCCCCCCACCCCAAAATGAATGGATGAGGACATTTTTGCAGATCAGAATGTATTGATTCAGTCTCAGTCAGTTTTATTGCGCATAGCCAAAGGCTGCCACAATGTACACAGAATCATTCAACAATTAAAAGAAAATATGCTGGATTAATACAAAAACTTAAAACATTTATATTATCAAGACATTGCCTACTCTAAACAGAGCTATAAAAATACCTTAATATACAGGTTAATACATTAAACAATAAAATTTATAGGCTAAAATTATCACATGGCCACTAATATATTTTTTAAAATGTTAATTAATACAATGTGCAATTATATTCAGAGTTTGTGATAAAGATAGAATATAGCTTGATGTAGATAGGGTCAGATAAATTCATCTCCTTTACAGTTGGTGGCTATCTTGGCTATATAATTTGCTCTAATTTTCCTAGTGGCAGTTGCAAAGGGGTGCTACACACCAGGTCACATACTTATCTGTGTCTGCGAGGAGATATAAAATCATGTCAGAGGGGTTCTGGCCAGGGGACCTTGTCATTATAGGTGCTAAAAATTGTTCTCTTGCTTCATTATATAAGGGGCAGCACAAGATATAATGCATAAGGTCCTCAACCAGCTCTTAAAACTATAAAGAATGGAAGGCCTAGCGGGGGGCTGGCAGTGCTGGTGTCAACCTCTATTAATGTATTGATTCTAGTCTTCACCAAAGCTTTGCAGAGCAGAACGTAGAAATTCTGCTCATCCTCAGAAAATTTGTGGCCATATGAACCTTTAGCGGCATTATCAGAACATGTAGTCTGTTGCAAAGTATTATTTCTCTATGATTGATAGAAATGCCTCTTCAAAGAAAGTTTATCTGGGTTTTTTGGTCACCACAATTTGTAGTGTTCCTCAATGTATTCATCTCAGGGACAAGACCTTACTGGTAATTCTTGTTGTATGTTTAGAAACCAGGATTAGTTACTTTAAAAGCATATATTAGGCTAGTTTGTAAAAATCTAACTTCCTTCATTCTAATGACCTTTTCAAAAACACAAATAGCTCAGTTGCTAGAGCATGACACTCTTAATCTCAGGCTCATGGGTTTGAGCCCTGCGTTGGGTAAAAGATTCCTGCATTGCAGGCAGTTGGACTAGATGACCTTTGCGATCCCTTCCAACTCTGTGATTCTCTAACTCGCATCTTCAAAGTGAACCCTATGTCTTTGTTGGATGGAGCAGTAGTTCTCTAAAGAGGCAACATTCAATGTCTGTGTTTTTTTTTACGTATGAACTAAAAAAAAACCTTCAAAAGAAGGTTACTGAAGCTACCCACACATCTGCTCTTAACAAGGCACTTTGAAGTCTGGCCTCTAGAATATCAAATAAAAGCTTACTAGATCATAGAGGTTTTAGCCCACAACCTTGGTGCATTCCTTATGAAGATGCCACAGCCTACAAGCTATCAACCTCCTGGTCTCATATCAGTCCAGCTTACAAACTTCAACTTTTGACAGCTATAAACTTACGCCTTCACACCTTGTCAGATACAGCTGTTTCCACTCTACCACTTCAAAAAGCTTTGATTTAATATCTTACTGTAGCAACACACACAAGTGTGCACCCACCCACCCAAATGAGAGGCTTGGGATTAGCTTTGGGCAAAACAAATGCAGTCTACACTGTATAGCTTTATTGGGAGATGGAAAGTAATTACAGCTTGAGGGTTCCATGTATGTAAATGGCCAGTATATCTTGAGCACCTTGAAATGTGTTTTTTTTGTTCAAAGGTCTAGCAAGTAAAGCAGTCAAGCTGTATTGCACAAAGGCAGTCTTACAAAAGAATAAAAGGTCTCTGCCACGCATGGAATTTCCCAGCAACTTTTTGCCTAGCTTTCTGGTTTCTATTACTAGCAAACTATGCTATGTTAATAACCCTCTTAATAAGAAACGGATTGCGGTACCTCCTAATAATGATTATCATGTGCTGTCTTCATAACTGATGGCACTTTCTATTTCATTACGCGTCCAACTAATTAAAAGTCCGCAGTGCTTTTCTCCAGCCTGAATCAAGCAGCCCTCGTCATGGGAGGGGGCTTTGAGGAGAAATATTGATCATGCCAAATTTACTCCAACCATTTTAAAAGAGTGTCCAGTGTGTGTAACTGTTAGCATATCAGAATCTGGACTGGAGAGACCCAGGTTCAGATCTCCACTCAGCTGTGAAGCTTATCCGTGACCATGAGCCAGCAGCCCCTGCCTCTCAGCCAGATCCACTTCATAGTTAGTGCTGAAATAATTATGTATGTTGCCTTCGTTTTCTTGGTGTGATCAGTCAGTGACTATTCATCATGATAGCTGTGTGGATCTCCTAGGCAATATGCCAACGACCAATAACTCAGTTGGTAGAGCATGAAACTTAATCGGAAGGCTGTGGGTTCAAGCCTGGGTTGGGCAAAATATTCCTGCATTGCAAGGGATTGAACTAGATGACCCTTGTGACCCCTTTGAACTCTGCAATTCTGTGAATCTATGAGTACAAGGTGCTGGGGTGCAACAGCAGGAGAAGGCTTTTGCTTTGCAGGACCTCTTCCATATTTCTTAGTTATTCATGGTTTGCTGCTCTAGGAAGCAGGATTCTAGACTAGATAAACTTTTCATCTCAGATAGCAGAGTTCCTCTTGCCTTGTTTTGCACCTTATTTGATAATACATTTGAAAGTTATGAGATAATACACATACAAAGTTATGAGTAGTCATTAGGCTAAGGGGATGATTGTTCATAACTTTTAAAATGTGATGGCTATGTAGTCATGCTTGAATAGGAAGTGTAGACTGAATTGGGCACATGCCTGTGCTTTTTATTTCTCACCAATTACTCATAATCCTATAATAATTATGCCCACATAATTTTCTCTCCAGAGCCGTGGTCTGTGCCTTTTGAATGTACCCCTCAGTGTCAATCAAAATAAAGTGCAGCAAAATATAGAGGTCACAGCAGTACATCAGCATTTCAGAAATAAAACCATCTATTTGAATTACTGCTAAAAAGAATCCAGCTAGATTTTCACCCCTTGTAGAGTATTTTAAGTCTTATTTCGAAAACAGCCCCATTAATTGATTAGATGATGGAGAGATTTCTTTTAAAGCAAAGCTTCATCTAACTGCTCGTTCATTAGTGTGCTTTTGTGATAATATTCTAAACCCTTTCTTCTAAATTATAGTATATGTATTTTTTGTGTTTTTATATTGTAAACCACTCTGTGACCCTAGAATGAAGGGTGGCATAGAAATTTAATAAATAAACCAATGTGTTTGGTAAGAGACAAATGCTTAGTGTAGTAGTATCTGATGGAGTTTGTTTGTTTGTTTGTTTGTTTGTTTGTTTGTTTGTTTGTTGAATTTATATCCCACCTTCTTCTTCAAAGAGTTCAGGGTGGTAAACATGATTCCCCCTTCCTCATTTAAGTCCTACAACAACCCCATTGGGTAGGTTAAACTGTGTGGCTGTGACGGGCCTAAAGTCACCCACTGAGTTTAATAGATGAGTTCGTATTTGAACCCTGGGCCCTTGGGGCCTAGTCTGGCACTCTAAAAACCACCACATTGGCTATGCAGGATAGCGGAGACTATTGTTTAGGCTTGGTTTTAGTCTGTTGTTGTTGTTGTTGTTGTTGTTGTTGTTGTTAAAATGTAATGGGTTTTTCTTGTCATATTAAATGTTTTGATGACTTTTTATGGACTAGATACCATTTTGTGAGGTGATTCCTCTAAACCGTGGTACAGAGCTCTTCTAAATACATAAATATTCTATTTGCAACAGTCTGATTTCAAAGGGCATCCTGAACCACTCCCTCTAAGGCCTAGTTGTCATGAACAAATCTTGCCTGTATAGTTTCATACTGTAGGTGGTATTACTCAATTGTGTGAGCGTCCACCCACCATTCTGCAATGATCCCAGCATTGTAGAGGGTTGGGATAGATGACCCTGGAGGTATCTTCTAATTCTGTAAGAGGGGTACAGCCTAGAAACAATTTACTTCTTCATTTGCTGTTTTTGAGAACTTGGTCCCAAGAAATGTGGCTATCCTAGTCATATATTTAAGTCCACATTCCACTTTTCTTTTCCCCGATACCTTTTCCTTACAGTAGAGTGCTACACATCTGCTCCCCCCCCCCTTACTGGTGTAAACGTCTTCAGAACTGAAACAGTTAAGTTTGTTTTCTTTTTGCTGTATGTCACTATTTTTCATAATGGACCCCGCTGCTCTGGCATTAGGCAACTGGCCAAATTAAAAAATAATTACTACATTAAACAGAGCAAGGGCACATGAAAAACAGGCCACGATTGAAAAATTTAATTGGAAAACCACATGCAGATACTATGAGTCTCTCCATGTGATCTTATTACATGGAAAAGAAATTAGCAGCTAGTTCAAAAGCTGCTGACCAGGAGCTCAGCTCCACCTGTGTGTACTGGAATGGCATACAAAATACACATCCTTTAAATAGCATTGAAATGTTCCAGTGTTATGGTTGGAAATTATCCTGTTCAGTAGCTCTTCAGTCCTTCTCACCTTTATGTTTTGAAGGCTTGGTTGCTGGCCAGCACCTCTGGTGTATCTGGAGAACACTGTTTAGAGCTGGAGCATAGTTGATATCATAGGACCATAGAATTGTAGAGTTGGAAGGGACCGTGAGGGTCATCTAGTCACAACCCCCCTGCGATGCAGGAATCTTTTTTTTCCAGTGTGGGGCTCAAACCCACGACCCTGAGATGATGAGTCTCATTCTCTACCGACTGAGCTATCCCACCTGCCTTTTATATTTAATATTTCACAACTACTTTGCATTTTTTTTAAAGCAATACATTACATGATGTGAAGGAAATTAACTTTTTTCATAGCTTCTGCTTTTATGGCTTGTTGCATACTGTATGGGAGTATGTATTTTACTAGTCTGTTTGGTTGGGAATTATTGGGTTAACTCTCTATGCTTGCCTTGCCCTGGGGCTCAAATTTATCTTGCAAATTGACTTCTTCTTCTTCTTCAGAAACAAAAAACAAAAAACCCCTAACCTCAAAATCTTCTAGTTTTTGTCAGATTCATGGAATTATTGTACATTCTTTATCAGGGCAAGATTAAGCTAATATAAGGTTACCAGATTTTTTCCAATGAATCCAGGGACACTCTTCAACTTCAATTGATTTTATATGGGGACTGATTTGTAAACCCGGGGACGTCTGGTAACCTTAAGCTAATAGTACTTTTCTGTTGAGAGTACGAAGATCAAGGTTGCCACTTAACTTAAATCAAAACCTAGGACCATTTCTAGCTTGATTGGCCTAAATTTTAAAAACACATAAAGTGAACTGATGTATATTCATGTTTTGGTTTGTTTCAGTTTTTTTTTTATTTCTTCCCCGCCCTTTACACTAAGTTCTCCCAAGGCATCTTATGATAAAAATAATAAAAACAATGGAATAGATAACATAATAAAAGCAGCATCAGATAAAATTTTATGTGTTGGGGGCCAGCAGTAAAATAAGTAAAAAGGATGGGGTTGGGGGAAGGGGAGGGAGAAGTCTTTGGGGTCTGTTTAAAGGCTGTTACCTCAGGTGTCACATTACTACTAACTGTTTCATTTGATAAATATCACTGCCATGTTCTGTTTTGTAGTTTGCATTTGGAAATGCAAACAGCGGTCCATTCATGGAGTTCTTGAATATTCATGTTGACAATCATTGTGATTCCGGCTCAGGTCCCTGTCCCTTTCCCAATCCTGGTGCCTTTCTTCACAAAGCTTTTCCTGAATCACAAAAGATGCACCTGTCATGTACTGTCAGCTCTCAATTAATCATCTCTGCCCAAGTTTTTCTGCCGCGCAGTCACATTGCTCAAAGTGGTCAGCAGCACTCTGGAGAGCTCTGCTCAATGCCCTGGTTGGAGAACACAGAGAGCATTTTCTCACACCACATTTCTCTCTCTCCTACAGAGAGCGACAGAAACAGAGAATTGCTCTCCACACGCAAGCGAAAGGTGGGAACTGTCAGGTGGAAATTTGAGTGATGTGAATGGCAGAGCAGCTTTGGGCCAATGCCTCTGACGTTTTTTGGCCATTAGCATGTTACAAAGATTTGGGCTGTAGCTTAGTAGCAGAGTACCAGCTCTGCATGCAGGTCACAGGTGTGAGCCTCAACATCTCCAGATATGACTAGGAGAGGCTCCTTACCTGAAACCCTGGAGAGCCACAGTACTGAACTAGATGGGCCAGTGGTTTGGCGTAGCCCAAGGCAGCTTCATCTGTTCCTGTGTGCGTATTTAGCTATTTTCTCCTCATAGCCTCAAGTGAGTATGAGAACATATCAATGAAAGTAGAGCTTGGAGAGGAATCTTGCAATGAAGCTATCATGTTCATTGACAGAAACAGTTTTGATGGACTAGACCGGGGTCAGCAAACTTTTTCAGCAAGGGGCCGGTCCATTGTCCCTCAGACCTTGTGGGGGCCTGGACTAATTTTTTTTTTGGAACGAATTCCTATGCCCCGCAAATAATGCAGAGATGTATTTTAAATAAAAGCACACATTCTGCTCATGTAAAAACACCAGGCAGGCCCCCAAAATAACCCAGAGATGCATTTTAAATAAAAGCACACATTCTGCTCATGTAAAAACACCAGGCAGGCCCCCAAAATAACCCAGAGATGCATTTTAAATAAAAGGACACATTCTACTCATGTAAAAACATGCTGATTCCCGGACTGTCCGCAGGCCAGATTTAGAAGGCAATTGGGCCGGATCTGGCCCCCAGGCCTTAGTTTGCCTACCCATGGACTAGACTGCTAGTTGTACTCGCAGGATTTGTGGAAATTCTTGATTATTGGCAGGTTGCATTTGATCTTAGAATGTTACTTTTTAAAAAACCGTTTTCATTGTCACTTTTTTTAATGGGCTTGTCTGTTTTAACTAAGCATACTTTAATGTGCTTATGGAGTTGTTATTGTGGAATTTAATTACGTACGGCTTGAATAATTGATTTTAAAGCTGTAAACTGCGTAGAAGCCATTTTAGCCTATAAGTGGTACATAAATTAATAAATAACAAGAACAATAATAATTCATAAACCTAACTCCTTTCTCGGTGGCTTGTTTTAATTTGAACCATATTCAAAACATCAGAAGTACGATAGCAACTTGAAATTCTTTGTGTAAGTGAGAGTACAGAACTGCATAATACAAATACAAATGATCTTGCAGTTCGTGTACTTCCCAGGATCCGCGTGTCTCTGATCATACTGGCTCGCAGTCATTCCGTTCTACCTCTGGTATTTGTTTTGCCAAGCTATTACAGCTTATGGCATCAAATGTCAGATATTGCAGAAGTTGCAAGGTTGCCATTGATCTGAATCACATCTTTCATTTGATAGAACTCTCAGCTGCTAGAAAAAAAGCTACTGTCTGATAAATCCAACAAATTGCTAGATGTGAAAATGATTGAATTGCAGGTTTTAGGAATGAAAGCACAGCTTGAGACCTATAAACAAAAAATCAGTGATTTGAATATGCTTGCATTTAACGCCAAATGGTTTGACAATTGCATGCAATAATTATGGGCTGTATAATCCTAAAAGTATTTGGTTTAGAAAGCCAGAGGAGTTTAATTATAAGCACTTTGTGAGGTCCATAACACATACGTTAGAGTTTTACTTAAAAAAAATATTATAGCTGCAGTATTTAAAAAAAATAGCTGCAGTATTTAAAAAAAAATATAGCTTTTATCATTGTTTGGTAAGTTTTATTATACTAATGAAATAATATTTTTAAATATGCAGCTTGGTTTCCATATGGCTTGAATGAATAATTGTGGAGAGTATATTTAACTGTGTATCAGAGCTCTCAGTGCATAGCTATTGCAAAAACTGTAGGCTTACTTTTACTGTAAATGTTCCCTGGGGATTCCTAGGCTGCCATGTAATACTTAGTAGTTTAAAGTTTTGTATTCATACTTTGCCAGTATATAATCTATTACATAAGAAATTTGTACAAATGTAAACGGCAAATAGCTTTCACCAGTTGAGTATATTTGAACAACAGTCGCCCCCGCAAAAACAATTAAAACAATTTAAAAATATATCTATTTATTTTTTAAATCCAAGTTGGAAGAAAAGTTTGGAGGATCAGAACCCAAAAAGCATGACGTTCATTTCATGGTGCTAAGAAACTGTTCTCTTTGGATATGGTAACTTGAAAAAGTAAAGTAGACTAAACCAGTTCCAAGATGCTTCTCCCTGTTAGGGTTGTATGTCAACTATCCATTATCTGTTGAAAGGAGATGGTCCAGAAGTAAAGATCGTTACGAACAGTTCCATCATGTACAGAGCATTTCTTTCTGTGCTTTCCTGTTGTTTAAAATTCAGATTCCCACCCAGAGGCAGGTAAAGGTGAAGGTAAAGGACCCGTGGACGGTTAAGTCCAGTCAAACTTCACTATGTGCTCCTGCATTTCAGGGAGCCGGCGTCTGTTTGCAGACAGCTTTCCCGGTCAGGATTTGTGCGTTGTAGTTCCTTGTTGGGGATCGGCACCTTCTTTCTAAAGTAGCATCCCCAATAACCTCAAGGGCAGCCTCTTTGTCCCAGTCTAACTCTGAAGGTAACACTTTGGGGTTTGTCAAAAAATAAATGCCACATCCGAAATGATTCAGCCGTGCACAGTTCTCTTTAGCAATAAAAAGAAGCTGTTGACATTTTGATTGCTTTGGAAAATAGCACACTGCAGCATGACAGTGACATCAGTAATAAAAGTTCAAGTGAAAATTCTTGCCGTCACCACAGGAGGATTAAAAGGCCTGACAGCACATTATAACTTGGTCATCGGCAAGATGAAGCAGGGCCACCATGAGGAGCTTTCATGCTCGGTGATGCTGCCTGCAGATAAATCTTTTTCATTTTCTCCTTTTATTACTTCATTGCGCTTTATCAAGCCACTGTGCATGTTTTCAATTAGCAAGCTGAAACCTCCAAATGGAGATCAGTTGCTCTTTATATTTAGAAGAGGGAGCTGTCTAATGACACGGCTAAAATATTTGGGAAGCGTGCTTTTCAGAGCATTAAATCTCATTCAGCTGCAAAGGCCTTACAACTGTTTGTTCTTTAAAAAGAAAAGAAAACCACCTGACTGAGCATGCCTGATGTGAACTAATGACACTTCAATCAGTTTTGGAGAGTGAGGAGATTTGACCTCTATTTTATTTTTTATTTTTTTCACTAAACCATGTTGATTGTTTCACCCAGCAAACAAGGGTATTTTGTTTACCAGAGAGAAACTTGTTAGAAATGGGGAAGGGGAGAGAGAGGAAGTCGGATGTCTTGCCAGCATATTTTAATCACATATTCTGCACTGGAATGCAGAAATCCCTCCCTCCCTCCATTCATTCCTGGTCAGGGTGAGAAATCTGACTTTCCATTTAATGGCCATCCCACCCACCAAGGCATGCATACAAGCACCCGCGCACGCACACACACACACACACACACACACACAATTTAACAACAATATTTTATTTTTCATTCTTTTGTATTTAAAAGCTCTGCATTTCATGTTTTTTGAAGGGAACTTTCAGTATTCAAATATTAAAGTCGTTTCTGTGTCCTGAAGATTTTTCACTTCAGTAAAGTTCATCAGTGAGCCCCCTTAACTAGTTCTTAAATTAAATCTATATTTAAACTCATGGATTCCAAGGCATAAGGTGCATCCATGAAAAATGGACATCAAGGTTATGCTGGATCACCTCTTCCCAGCCATTCCAAATGATGCTGA